GTTCGAATTCCCCGAGCATTGAGTGATAACAATCCAAAATTTACATTGCGCTTTGTGAATTAGACAAATTAAGTACAGAAAAATAACTTTTACCTTGCTGCTGGTTTCTCCTTACAGTGCCAGTCTCTTATTAATCAAACTAGTGATGAGAATTACAGCAATCATCAACTGGAAGATATTGTCTTGATGTACCAACAAACTCTCAGAACTCTGATGTCAAGAGAAATGAAGGACAGTGAAGGAGAATTTATTTAGCAGTTTGAACATGGTACTGAAAATGGTGAAGGATAGGAAGTCTGAAAAAATATATATATTCCTCTAAGTTTAGTCATTAAGGAAGAAAACATAGAAAAATATGGCTTCACTCCTCTACGGATGCTTCTGCCACTCTCTTAAACCAAGCGTTGCATTGCTGTGGGAGCATATAAACCAAGCACAAATTGCCTCCTTCACAAAGTTCTACTTGTTAAAGCAAGAAAGTATGATTATTGGACAGCATCTTGACTTGGGAAAAGCTTCGTTCGAATTTTCCTTCGATACATTGTTACACAGCATGTGCGACTCCAAACTTGTTTTGTCTGTGACCTCTTCAGTTGGCCGCCAGTAAAGATTTGAATTTGGGATGACTTCATGTAACCATGCACGAAAAATAGAACTTGATACAGAATAATAACGACTGACAATAATATAACCAGATGGAAACAATAACAATAAGATAGAAATAAACAAGTAAATAAATAAATAAGTAGATATAAAAATGAAAATTATAAGTTTAGCATGTGGTGTCAAGGTTTATATTTCATGCATGGTTACATGAAGTCACCTTGGATTTCAATCTGTTATGGGGACCAAATTAAGAGGTCATGAACGAAACTAGTTTTGTAGTTGTATATATTAGTGTAACTGTGTGTTGAAATAAGATTTGAATGCAGTTTTTCCCTAGCAAGATGACGTTAAATGATTATACTTTAGAGATTTTGACAAGCTGACTGTAGCAGAAATGATTTATAACCAGAAAAATAATTTGAATGTGGTCTTTCCTAATCCAGATAGCTGCAAATCCTAATTTTACATGGGCAATAATATGCCTGAGATTATTTGTTCAGAAACTCATAGAATGTTGCAGCTAAAAGGTCAATGAAAAAATGGAAATAAATACAAGTGGTACTGCCTCAGTTACCTGCATGGTATTTTGTGATTGTTAGAATTGTATAAAGTACTGTCACGAAAGCTATATAAACTGTCATAAATAGTCCTTTATTTAGATCATTAGGAGATAAGTCTTTGCCAGTTTTGTTTAGGCCATCGCGGACGGCCTTTAATTACCTTAGTTTCCTTTCAATTATCAGTCAATTCTCTTTTCTTGGATAGAACACTTGTTAGCCATATACTTCCTGTTTGGCGACGTTCCACCGTTGAACGCCCTTCGTTTGCCACATGATAAGGAACGCCACTTTTAATTCTAGCCAGTCGGAGTCACGTTGTCATAGGAGAAAGAAGTGATCGGAGTTTATTAGTAGTGAGTCCTTACACGTAACTATCGGAGTACCGTCGGAGCATTGGAGTTACCTTTTCTTTTTCAGCCTTTAACGCAGTACCGGACGTAAGTTCTACTCGTTTATATTCACCTTTTCGTTTTTCCTTTTACCACGCTTTTGTAGATCTTGTAAATTTGAGCTCTCTTTTAATTATGTATTGTAATCTACTCTGTAGTTTTCACCGCATATGTATAATATTTGGGCAAGTCGACCTTAATAAACGCTGATCAAGTAAAGCTTGTCCAGTTGTTCTACATCGTGCGGTTGACGCTCGACGATCTCAACGCGCACCACGTGCCAGCTACTTGGGTTCGTTACAAGTACCGGTAGTCGTTTTTCGAGGACGCCAGATTTTGTTTTTAATTTGGTGGGTTAGTGCGCAAGCGTGACAATACAAACCCCTGGACGTAGCAGCTCTCACTGGACTCTTTTTAACAGTTATGATAAGGTTGACCCAACAAGTTTGTCTGGTTACGATGTACAGCGAAAATGAAAACAACTTAAGAATTTGTTTTACCTTAGGAAATGTGATATCAAGCCTACTTTTATCAATGTTTAATTTTAACAGTCGGTAAGCGACTGTTTATTAGAACTACATGGAACTGTTGCCAGCCAGACAGCTAAAAATCATGCAGTCAGGAATAGTAACAACGGTAAACGGTGTTGATTCTGGATAATTTTTCTGACCCTTAAACTGCTAATTTTCATAAAGCTGTAGTTAGGGAAGAGTCAACAGCAAATATGAAGGACAAAAATGTTCGTCGCACTCATCATTGATCGACTTGGAAAGACTAAGTCAAAACTGGTGCCCATGGTGCCAATGACTAAAGAAATGCTTATCGCCGCACCGTAAAAATCTTTTTACGGTAGATACTACTACAATGGTCCAAGCCTAAGAAGTAATTTATAGAAAACTAGTTAGTGACCTATACCATGGACTATTTTTAAAATGGAAGACGGTGGGAAGGAAAGGAAATTCGAAGTACTTTCTGAGCATTTCCACAGGAACATATTCTCTATTGGCTTTATCCTAGCTGTAACCCTTTAATTAACCTCGTTCCCAGGCTCTCTCTCCTTTGCCTTCCTTGTCACATGGGATTCAAAGTTGAGAGAGCCTGGGAAAGAGGTGGCCCTTTGAGTTTATTAGGGAACTTAAAGTGCCCATAATGCCAAAACTTTTTTTTCGCTCATCTAATTCTATATTTCACCTAATGAGCTTCTGCGAAAAAATTTTCGATTTGGATAAAACGCAATTTTTTTTACGAATCTTTACAAAGTTCAAAATTCTATTTTCTTGCGGTCGACTCCTGCCGCTGATCACAAGAATAACGTGCTCAAAATGGCCACGAGACTGATGCCTGTGATGTAGGTTCAGGAACCTACAATGAAGACTGATGTTGTTTTCTGGATCATTAACGTTGTTACAAAGAGCGGCAACGCACCTTTCCGGCATTTTCAACTAAATGTAGACAACTCTGAAGCAAATTTCCACTTGTTTTCAAGTCAGATAAGTCATGACCCAAATCACGTGTTCCTGAACCTACGTCACGACTCACTTCAAACCGAGGAAGACTTGTGCGAATGGTGGACCAAAATGGCGGCAAATTTGAACGTCTTTAAAATGTTTTCGCAGAAGTTCATTAGGTGAAATTTAGAATTAGATGAGCGAAAAAAAAAATTGACATTATGGGCACTTTATAAAGCAAACCGCGGCGACGATGGCAACAAGACGCCACCAAACAAAAGGTTTAATGAGCAAAACAATAGGTGTACACGTGAGTTATAAATCTTTGTACAATTTTTTGCCGTCCTCTGCAAATCAAAACGTGAAATAACCAAGATCTGCGTAGTCTGAGGAACACGAACGACGAAGGCGAATTTTTCGTATTTCCATTTGGAATTAAACTCTGTCATTGCACATTTAACCGAGCATGATTTTAGAGCCATTGGCGTACTAAACATACCTAGATAGTTGCGAGCGTCGCGGGTAAAATATAAATTCATTTTTACTAGGCGTCGTCCCCGGCGTCGCCGTCGTCGTTGCTTAAGTTCCCTATTCCGCAGCTCGGGGGGAGCAGGGAGTGGTGCAGGAGGGATTAGGGTGGGAGGGAGGAGAGGGCTTCCTTCGCATCAAATTGTCCATTTCAATAAAGAAATTGGGTGCCTAATACAATTAACCCGTATTTCAAGCTATTCATATAAAAATTCAATGTCACTTAACTAATTTAAAATGACCTGAACTACGTATCTTCCTTCAACCGGCCGCTCGTCTGTCCAACAGTAAGCCTTCACAGTCCTAACCCCTCATGTTTTCTTGGCCCCTTGCTCTAGAATAAGCGCAAGAGTTTTGTCGTTCATCGCTCCTTCGATGAATTCCGACAACGATAAAACACCGTCTCCATTAGAATCGAAGGTGCGGAAAACCTTCAGCGTGCGTTCTTTGGGTTTGAGTTCGTCCCAGTTCGGAATGCCTTCGGTTTCTTCCGGATTGTCACCCATTGTTTTGTACAACGCGTTCACTATTAGAAACATTCCTTGCTTCGTGATAAATCCGTCGCCATTGACGTCGTAAATGCTGAACGCCCAGCGTACCTTTTGCTCCGTTGTACCTCGTGTCGACACAGAGAGGGAGCACATGAATTCACGAGAGTCTGCGCACAGAAAAAAAAATTATCATTCATCGTCAGTGTCCTTAAGTAAACAACCTTCCCTTTTCGAAAATAAAAGCTTCAAATCTCCGGGGGTAGTCCCTATAATAGTTTGTTAATGGAGGCTCCGCCCGAAAGGAGTACTTTTTCAGGCTTCGGGTATATAAAAGGGTGCGGACTTCACAAGTTGTTGTATATCAAAGGGTAAGGAAATCTGTCATTTAGTTATTTAAAGAGCCTTAAATTAAAATATCATGGCTATGTCATTTTATTTATTAAGCACCACATGAAAATGGTAAGAAGACTTCCTTTTTTGGCGATTTATTCATAACACGGGCCAGTTATGAAAGTATGTGAAAGGGCTACCTTTTCTCAATTAAAGGTATTCGAAAGGGGTACCTTTTCTGTTAAATGGTATATTAAAGGTAAGGGGTTGACCAGTATCACGTGACCATATCGCGGGCTCAAGCTTGGAGCTCATCGAGGTCATGTGTTTTTTAGAGTTGACCTCTGACCAAGTGCTGGTTTACTATTGGATCTCGGGCTCATGTCAGATTAGGTTGCAAACGAGACCGGGTTGTTCGGAGGCCGGTTACCGCTAACCCAGGATTAAAGTTAACAGAAGTATAAATAGTTCTTTGTATACAAATGTTTTTCACTGCTTTTGTTTTGTGTATTTTGAGATTATTTAAACTCAAAACAGAAGGCCAAACAATATACAGAAAACCTCACTGCAAAGTTACAAAATTCAAATCAAAGTTTTCGCTTAATCTGGGTTATCTTAATCGGGCTTTGAAAAACCTGGCCCAGGAGTTCCGCTTTTAGGCTTGGCTAAATCTAGATGTTATATTTCTAGTACCCAGGGTCCTCTCTCTAACTTTGATCTTCATCGTTTATGGAAACTGGGCACCAGGTTCTTAGTGTTGTCGCCTGGAACTCATTGACTTCTCGTTTGTCATTTGCAAATGCTCTCAGCGCAAAGAATGAATATTCTATCGTCAAGGAGTTTCTTTCAACCTGCAATTATGCATGTGTTTTCTGCCTTTCCAAAGTGCGTCTCTCTCAGATGGTACTCAACGATAACCAGACAAGAATTTGGCAGACATTTTGAGAAGCTTGTTGTTCAAAGTTTGCGAAAGTATTCGTTTGATGTAGCTGTTTGTGGTGGGCCAAAAGACAGGGGTATTGATTTTAGAGGTGTTTGGCTACTGAAAGCATCATCCGTGCCTGTGATAGGCCAGTGTAGACGGTACAAAAAACGCTTAGGCCCAAAGCATGTTCGTGAGTTGGTCGGAACGTTAACTCATGAAGCGAAGGGCACACTGGGTATCATTGTTACAGAATGCGGGTGAGCATTTTGCCGCTATTGAAAGTAAATTTGATCAGAGAACCGTATCTTCAAATCAACATCGAGAGAAAATCTATAAGAAAAAGTCACTCTGTAGACTAGATATGGGGATCACCACTGCGGAGCTGATTTATAAATACGCAGGTATACAAGTATTTCTACTCGATGGGAGATGGCATAGTAGTCCCTCATGCACAGGGTCACCCTCCAGTGCTGCAATTCACTGGTACTCATATACACACCTGGGTTAATTGCCAGAGACCGTAAGACTACAGTGCCCTGCCCAGGGCTTCAATGGAGACCACTTGAAGGCCAGTGCTTCTGCTATAAAACTTATAGAAGAATCATAATCAAGGATTAATTTTTTAGGAAGGAAACCAGCCTATCCATGCCAGCTCCTTCTACCTCCACACAGCTCTGCAATTTCTTGTTTTTGAGAGTCACATTTAAAGCTGGGGGATTTGTGTGACATGAATTAAGCAATTAGGGCTAAGGAATATTGCTACACTCACTGGACAGGATACTAACCAATTATTATAGATAACCGCAGTTACTTTGTGGAGAAGCACTATATGGGTAAAATGACTCAACCAGGCTCGTAGGGAAAGGGATGCAACGGGTGCACTTGCACCCCTTCCCCACAGGCTGCAGAGGACCACTTTATTGTTGACCAACAATTTAAAAAAAAGTGAATTGATAAAAAATATATGATTCACTGTGCAATAAAAAAATGTATCCTAATCTTTACGTCCTCCTAAAGATTTGCTGTATGATCCCAACGTTTTCATCTTTATTTCTGTTTTTGTTCTTTCAAATAGTGACATTATTCTCTAAAACTGTAAAATACATACGCAAAGTAGTCTCTGCACCAAAAAAAAAAAAAAAATCCATTTTGACGTTCAAAAGTTTGAGTAGTATCCATGTTTTTTAAGTTTGCTTTTGGCTGCCTGTTTCCACATCATACTGTCTTCAAAATGCACAAAGTTCAGTCTCAGACTACCCAATTTCAAACTTTCTTGGGGGAGCATGCCCTGGGACAGTCCTAGAGGCTCGCGCCTCCGGCAATTGTTTGGTCCGTCTCTTATTTGTTAGATGGTTCACAGGCGGCCCAAGCTCTCAATGTTATCCTTTTTTTTTTCCTTTTTATGCGAACGTTCAGGTTAACGTGACATATGGCATGTATTATTACATAACGAC